ATTTTTCTTTAGGAAAAAATATTCAACTAAAAAAACAAAAACAAATCAAATTCGTAATCAAGAAAAAAGGATGATTACTAAAATTAAAAATAATTATTGAAATCAAAAGTGAAATTTTACGATTATTGCGGCTTTATAAAACAATAATAGGTATTCGACGATTAGATGCAATGGATTAGTTCACAATGGGTCACTACACTATTGATTGTATATTAAGGTCTAAGAATTGTTTTTTACGACTGAGGTCTTTGTCTGAGACTGACCGTCTGAGAATTAAGACTTGCTTTATCAACTTTGAAACTAAATAAACAAAAATATGCAATAAAACACACAATAAGATACGATTTAGGACCCACCATAGATACGGTCGTAAGAGAGGTTAGATCGGGACTGAACCGGTCAATGCGGGAGCCCTAGTTGATTGATGATTCTCCAAAAAAAAAAAAAAAACTCACATCTGTTGTTTTTAGTTTCCTCTTCCACACGCTTTGTGTTATCCACGCGCCAACGTTCTTTTTGTTTGCCACTTTGTCCGTCTGATTAAGGAAAAATCAAATTATTCTTAATTTCATTTCCTCTAAGCTTTCATTCTTTGTGTGAAGCAAATTATTCGATAACGCACTAGAATACTAGATTCTAGTCTTGGAAGATAGACTAACGATGTTTGCTGTATAATAACGATGTTAGATGTAATTACAAATACTTAAAAGCAAACATAAACGTAATTTATTAACATAGTACATTACTACATTATAGTCTGTTTTACGTAGCCATACATATATCAAACCAACTCTTTGATAATGTTATGTGATCTATGTGAAAACACGAACGTAAAATTTGTACACAAATTCTATTTTTTTCTATGATAAAATATCATTTAATATATATCCAATTAAAAACAAAAACAAAACCGAAAAAAGAATGATGAAATACTAAGCTAGAAAACTATAGTATGGGCTACATTTTTGTGTGGTCTATTGTAGGCAATATATACATCTACTTAAATTGGAGCAGAACTATATGAAACTGAAGAGTTTCTATAAAAAAAAAGTTCCAAAATATAACTAAACCGGTTTCACCAGCTCGTATGAACTTAAACAAGGTTTAATAATAGCTTCGAAGTTTGTTTCAATACTCAATATATAATGTTATATTACGTATGGAATGTGGAGGAGATGGCGCGTGGATGAGACGAGAGAGGACGTGAAGAGTGTCGCAGGCGGAGAAAGCACAGTCCCGCGATTCGTGCGGTTCGCTTTCCTCACGATTAGTGACGCACCGACTCACTGCTCACGACACGTGCTCACGTGACCCCCTCCTCTCTTCTCCTTATCTTTTCTGAATTAATCTGATTAAATTAGTATATTCTTCTATTAATTAATTATCTTATTGTTAGACAGATCTCAGTGATTAGGTGGTCTATTATTCAATTTCATAAACTTTATCTTTATATTGTCTATAGCAATATTCTCCTTGATTTTTAAAGAGTTGGACTGTGGTAACTTTTCATTATAATCAATTAGTATAGTATTTGTTCCTTGTTGAGATAGTCAAATGGTCATTATTGCCCACATTTTTTCTGAAGTTTAAACAGATTTAAACTCTGATGATAAATCCACTTCTTTTTTTTAATTGCATGAAGAAAATATCAATATTATTGTATTTCTTTATGCATTGTTTTTTTTATGGAAACTTGTTTATATTTACTTAGCTCTTATAACTAGTTTTACACATATATTTTCCTTTCAGTGTATTTTTGTTTGATTGTTTCTACTATCTCTAATTTGAATAAAACAACGTAACTATGCAAAAATTTTGAGATATGAAGTTTTTAAAAGTAGAAATTTACGAAGCTAATGCAAACCCAAAAATAAAGTACATAGTGTTGTAGAAAATGTTGTCAAATAAACCAATAGGTTGAAGAGCAAAACTTTACCTTTGTGTATATTATTCACGAAATTAAAATAGATATCAAAAAGGATAATGATCGGTCATTATTGTTAAAAACATATCAAATGATTAGACCTACAAATTAAAGACTTGGAAATGTTGAAAAAACAAGCTAAAAAAGATTCGAGCAAGACATGGAACACGACACAGTAACTTCCTAACTTCCTTAATCACCTAATTTGAAAACAACTTACTAACTTACCAGAATTCGAAATTATTTGGTAAATAATAATGAATGAAAATATCAAATATACAATCTGACATCTGGTTCCACCATCGACCGTGACATTCGCGTGCCTTTCTAGCTCTCGCTTAAAGTCTTTTATGCTTTCTCAATTTCTGGTTTTATCTGGTTCTAAAGCTCCACTAGATTTTCTTCTTTTCTTCCGATATTTATTTTTGTTGTCTGTTAATTAATTAGTTTCACATTATCTTCAATATACATTTATACACCCAATCTGACATAGTTATTTACCTTATCTAAATTCATGAACATGGAGCAAAAAAAAACGTTCCATGAGTGTTATAATTATGCTTATTTTCCAACTGCTTAATTATATAAAGATAGCGAAAAAATCCTTTTTCGATTAAAATGTTCTACTTATCTATCTTTATTCGTGCGGAATTGTCTAAATTTGAAACTTTCCAGAGATTTCATATGTTTTCTCTTGGTCCGACCATTAACCAAACAAAGCATGTTTTAAGCATGTGAGATGCTTTGACCAAAACGTTAGTGTGAGGTGACCAAATTCGATCTAGGTTGGATATACATCCTTTCAGCAGGAGGCCAACTAGGACTTCCATGCGATATCCAAATGAAATGTAGTATACTAACATGTATAGTCAAGTGTTGAATAGAATGACATGAATACGTTATCTCGAATATCCTTCTAAAGTTTAAATTATAACTAAAACAACATGATTGATCGGTAAATCGTAAATCGAGAGAGACCAAATGGGGCTAGTTTTGGGTCGGATTCTAACAATCTGCAACCCAATGTGTCTATTGAGTCAAGAAGTATACATAAAACTAAAATTAGATTTTTTAAATCTTTTCTTGCTCTTTTAAACTTAAACTTTGGCATGAACCATTGTGAGATGGAGATGAAAATGGTCCACATTTCATTTTTCAATAGGGAAAAAAAAAACGTAATTTATGTGGGAGAAGAAGGGTAAAATAATAATTTAAAAGAGAGATGGTAGTGAGTGATGAGAGGGGAAAACAAAAACAGAACCACTTTTGTCATCCCTCAACACCTACATTTGTCTTGCTAGCCAGAAAGAAGATAATACTTGTCCCCACCCTCTCAATTTTTTTTTTTTTTTCATTTGACAAATATGCAATTTTAACAAAATTCATTCATGTTTTAAGTAAAAAAAAAAATTCTCTTAACAAAACCCGAAATTTCAAACTAATTTTACTTTTTTTTTTCTAAAAAATGAACAACATTTAAAGAGGAGAAATTGTTAAAAATGCCCCTTTTTCAATACCCCTTTTCAAAAATGCCCCCTTTGAGAGTCCATTTTTAAGTTTGCCCTCTTTTAATTTTTAATGACCATTTTACCCTTATTTGAAACAAAATTAGGTCCACAAAATACAAAATATTTTTTGGCGGGAAAAGTGATCCCGCAATTTTCCCGCCAAAACACTTGTAAAAAACCTTTAAAATACCTTGTAAAATTTTCCCGTAAAATTTTTCCCGCCAAAAAATTTTCCCGCCAAAAATTTTTTTTGCGGGAAAAGTGATTCCGCAATTTTTTTTTTTGGCGGGAAAATTTTTGGCGGGAAAAATTTACAAGGTATTTTAAAGGTTTTTTACAAGTGTTTTGTAAGGTTTTACAATGTATTTTAAAAGGTTTTACAAGGTACTTATTAGGTTTTATAAGGTATTTATAACTTGTAAAACCTTATAAAAAACTTGTAAAACCTTATAACTTGTAAAAACCTTATAAAATAGCTTGTAAAATCTTATAATATCTTGTAAATACGTTGTAAAACCTTTTAAAATACATTGTAAAACCTTATAAATACCTTGTAAAAAACCTTTAAAATACCTTGTAAATTATTTTTCCCGCCAAAAATTTAACGCCAAAAAAATTGCAGAATCACTTTTCCCGCAAAAAAATTTTTTTGGCGGGAAAAATTTTACGGGAAAATTTTACAAGGTATTTTAAAGGTTTTTTACAAGGTTTTACAAGTGTTTTGGCGGGAAAAATTGCGGGATCAATTTTCCCGCCAAAAAATATTTTGTATTTTGTAGACCTAATTTTGTTATATTTCCTTATATATTTGTGATATATTTTATTAAAAGAAGGGTAATTTAGTCATTTTGTACATAAAAAGAGGTATTTTTAAAAATGGACAGCCAAAGGGGGCATTTTTGAAAAGGGGTATTGAAAAAGGGGCATTTTTGTGAGTCTCCCTTTAAAGAGACCAAGATATATAATATAGTAATTTGTGATAGTGTTTTTAAGAGAACATAATATCCAGATTTAAACTCAACCAACAATAATTAAAATAACAGAAAAAATAATTGAATTTCAATTTATAAACAAAATATCGGACCACCATGAGTTTACTAAAACAAAAAAATTAAATACTCATACACAAATTTTTAGATAATTTATTTTCTTCATTAAGTAAAGATATTAAAAATAGGAAAACGTGATAAATAAATAAATAGAAAATTAAAGCACACCAAAAAAAATAAAAATAAAACACAAAATATTTCAGTAAAAATAGTTGGACCAAATAAATAGTTATGTATGCAAATCGATAAGTGGAGATGACATTATATATGACAATCGTGATAACCTTAAAAGAAATAATATTTACGGATATTCCAACAAATAAATAATATATATATATATATATCCCTAAACGGCTAAACCCTAACTTGTCGCCGGGATTTCGATTAACATAATTCTGTTCACTAAAAAAGACGCAGAACAAAAAAAAAAGAACAGTAGTGAGAGAAAGTAAGAGAGAGATGAGACTCTGTGGTTGACAAAACTCTTTTGCTCTCACAGAGAAAGATAACTTATTTTTCATTTCTTTAAAATATTTGGAAACAAAAGAGACTCTCTGTCTGAAGAAAGCTAAAGACTTAAAGACTTGTGATGATTCTTGACAAAAGAAGCTGTGTCTTTGGAGAACTCTGAAGTAGAGAGACAGAGAAAGACAAAGACAGAGACATGGTGGGCTCAGGAGCTGGAGGAGATAGAAGCAAAGATGCTGTAGGAATGATGGCACTTCATGAAGCACTTAGAAGCGTCTGTCTTAACTCCGACTGGATTTACTCTGTTTTCTGGACCATTCGTCCCCGACCGTACACACACCTCTCTTTCTCTCTCTCTGTTCATCAGGCTTTCTCTGTTTCTTTACCTTTTTTCTGTTCCACTTTCTGATTTCAGGAGGGTCCGTGGTGGTAATGGTTGCAAGATTGGTGACGAAAGTGGCAGCTTGTGAGTTTTTTTTTTGTCTTTATATATTTCCTCTGCTTTTTAGGACAAGAGAGACAGAAACAGCTCTGTTTCAACTCAAGATCTCTTCCTGAAACTGTTTTTGTCTGTGATGATTAATTTAAAAGGATGTTGATGTGGGAAGATGGGTTTTGTGGTGGAGGAAGTTGTCTGGAAACAGACATTGAAGGTGAAGAAGATCTTGTCAGAAAAGCTTTCAGCAAAATGTCCATTCAGTTATATAATTATGGAGAAGGGTGGGTACTGGGTAGGTGTTATATATAAGTAATTATGGAAGAAAGATAATTAGATTATATAAACACACCCTAATCACTTAAGTTATGATTAAAGATACATAATTATACAACACACAAGTTATGATCTTTTTTTATATGATATATGTATCTGCAGATTGATGGGTAAAGTTGCTTCTGATAAATGTCACAAGTGGGTTTTCAAAGAACCATCTGAATCTGAACCAAATCTTGCTAATTACTGGCAGAGTTCTTTTGATGCTGTACGTTTTTCAGTCTTCAACAGATCTTTTTTTTTTTTGGTTAGATGTAGAAATTTATGATCTTGATGGTTACCAATTTATTGCAGCTTCCTCCAGAATGGACCGACCAATTCGAATCAGGAATCCAGGTCAATAATCAAACTTCTTTTGGTTATTTACTGTTCTTGATCTTACCTTAACAGTGTTTATATTTGACCAGACAATTGCTGTGATTCAAGCTGGTCATGGTCTGTTACAGCTAGGTTCTTGCAAGATTGTGAGTTTTTTTCTCTTACGGTTTTTTTATTAGCTTGGTTATGCGGTGTGTGATCAGTGTGTTGTTTTGTTTCATCAGATTCCAGAAGATCTTCATTTTGTGCTGAGGATGAGGCAAATGTTTGAATCAATTGGTTATAGATCAGGTTTTTACCTCTCGCAGCTCTTCTCTTCAAACCGAACCGCGACTACTCCATCTTCTTCCTCGGTTCCAAACCAGTTACCTCAGTCTCAAGCTTTTAACTGGGGATCACACTCTCCTTTGTTACCTTCCCCTAGTTTTCAGAACCAACTACCTGCATCAGCCAGATTCGGTTTCCTTCAAGATGGCAATGTTCCTCCTCAGATGCTTCCTCCAATGGAAGAACATGAAGATGACATCAAATGGCCTAACGGTTTGTCGTTGTTCAATGCCTTGACTGGCCGTGCAGATGAAGCTAGTAGGCTTTTGTTTAACCAGGAGCAGAACCCGATGAATGTCGAAAACCAGAACGAGTTCTTGAGCCTTGAAGGTCATCATCATCAACATCAACCTAACAAGTTTAGAAGAAGCTATACATTGCCAGCAAGGATGGATTCTTCGTCATCATCAACCTCGCTTGATCAGCAACCACCACTGGAGTTTAGGAACAATAACTCCGCAAGCAACTCGGGTTTGTTCCCTGACGTTATGGAGACGTTCTTGAGGTGATTGACATGTTCAAGTTTCAGGTTTAAGGACAGATTAAACGATAAGCTTTGGATGCTAGTTTTTAGCTTATGCTTTCTATAAATACATGAACTATGTTTGTTGTTTCTTCCATGTTGTTGTTATTGTACCATATTGTCTGATTGTTTCTCCTTTTATGTCAAAACTCTTTTAACATTTGAAGATACTTTAAAAGCACATTATTGATTTGGCTTTTTAAGTCCTAACATACAGAGTATTATGACATGAGAAAAGTCTGATTCGTATGTTGAGTAAAAAAAAAGTTCATTGCTTTACATGTATACCCCAAGTTTCTTTGATTAAAACTAGTGATCTACACTTCATTAACAAAGAAACTAAGAAAGCTCCTATAAAGGAGTTTTCATTGTTGTTGAACAGACTCCATGGGAAGATCTTCAAGCCAAGTAACGACTTCTTCGATCAACGGTCTCCTTCTAGGCTCATGATCAATGCATTTGCAAGCAATCTCCAACATCTCTAAAACTGTTTTCTCGTTCACATTTTCGCGTATTGTTGTATCGATAAGCTCAGCTTCACGCTTCTCGGCCTTCATTTGAAACACCCGAGACACCAAATCTCTGCAACTTTTCCCTTTACAGACTTCCACAGGTCTACGGCCCGTAACTAGCTCCAAAAGCACGACGCCGAAACTGTAAACATCTCCTCTACATGTTGCAATCAGAGACTGGCTATATTCAGGAGGAATATAACCCAATGTCCCCACCAAATCAGTCGTCACGTGAGTATCGTACGGCCTAAGCAACCTCGCTAACCCGAAATCCGCAAGATGAGCTTCAAACTTCTCATCTAACAAAATGTTACTCGACTTCACATCCCTATGGATAACATTTGGTTCACAGACTTTATGCAAGTAAGCAAGCCCGCGTGCTGCGCCTTGAGCTATCTTCAATCTCACGTCCCATTTGAGAGTCATATTCCCATCTACCCGCTCGTGCAGCCAATAATCCAAGCTTCCGTTCTCCATAAATGAGTAGATAAGCAGCCGATCGTTTCCATGCTTGCAGTAGCCTTGAAGAGAGACCAGATTCTTGTGTTCCGCTCGCGACAATGCTTCAACTTCCGCTTGGAATTCGCGTTCCATCTGCCCGCAGTCACCAGAAAGCCTCTTGACCGCTGTTTTCGAGCCATCAGGAAAATTCGCTTTGTACACAAGACCAAATCCGCCACATCCTATAATGTTTGCCTGGCTGAAATTGTTTGTAGATTTCAACAACTCCTCAACACTCAGATCTTTGCATCCACAGCTATGGAAAAGCACAATCTTTGATGGCCCGAGAGCTTTCGGAACACCGCTGATAGTTTCCTCATCAACGTCATTGATTCGATCATCCGAGTCTTTTCTTGAAATTCTTAACAGAATAACAGAAAGTAGTAGAGTAATCCCAATGGCTAGACTTATGGTAAGTACAACAATGCTGCTTCTCCCGAATCTTCCGCCATTGTTATTACTACGCGAAGGACCTTTCGGATTCAACATGTTACTCATCAGAACATCGCAAGGAGAATCAATCGCGCGACAAAGCCCCAAATTTCCTTCAAAGCTGGAGTGTGGGAAGCTGTAGAACTGGCCTCCAGATGGAATCGCACCAGTGAGACGATTATATGCAACGCTGAACTTCGACAAGAAAGTGAGACTCTGAAAAGACAGAGGAATCGAACCGTAGAGATGATTGTAAGACAAATCAAGAACCTCCAAATTGTCAAGCCCTGAAATGGAATCAGGTATCCTCCCGGTGAAGTTGTTCCTGCTCAAATCCAGCATGTGAAGCTCTTTCAAACGTCCGATCTCCGGCAAGATCGTCCCGTTAAGGCGGTTATTGTTCAAATAGATAGATGGCGGGAATCTTGAAACTTGGTTATATGGAAGACCACTCGAGCTCTTGTTCCGCTTAACGTAGAGAGGAATACCAGAAGAGGTGGTCATCTGAGAAGCGGTGCAGTTTAGATGGATTAAGTTCTTGAGCTCGGTTATGGCTACCGGGATTTCTCCGGTTAAAGTGTTGTTTGAGAAGTCTATGTAGAACAGACTCTCCATCTTACCGATCCAATGAGGGATAGTTCCGTAAATGTGATTCCAAGAGAGATCAAGAACTTCCAGCTTCTTGCAATTCAATAACCAGCTCGGAATCTGACCTCTAAGACCGCAGTTTCCGAGGGCTAAAATCGCGAGGTTGTTGAAACCAGTGACGTTGCTTGGTATTTCCTCGCCGATGAAATTCTTTGAGAGAATAAGAGTGGAGAGATTTCTGCAATGTTGCAGCACATTCATTGTCTCAGAAAAATCCACAAAGCTGTTGTTGGATAAGGACAGGAACAAGAGAGACTCCAGATTCTTGAAGGTGTAGGGGATTTTGCCGCTGAACTCGTTTTTCGCCAAACTCAAGATCTTCATCTTGGGACAATGGCCAAGGGAATCAGGAAGTGGTCCAGAGAAATGATTACTGGCGAGATCGAGCACGCAAAGATCGGTAAATCCAGTGAAGTTAAGATTGATAGAACCAGATAACGAGTTGTTCCTAAGATCAAGAACCCGCAGCTTCGAGCATTGAGATAAGCTTGGCGGAAATCTTCCCGAGAACTTGTTGGAGCTTACATCAAGGTGTTCCAGCTGAGTCAGATTGCCAAAAACATTTGGAATTACACCGGAAAACCGGTTCTCGGAAATCAACAGAGACTTAAGACCAGAGAGATTGCTCAAGTTCTGGCTTAACTCTCCAGATAAGTAGTTTCCAGAGAGTGATAGTTGCTTTAAGTCTCGGATCGAATAAAGATAATCCGGAAGTTGGCCAGTCAATCCGTTGCTGTCGACATGGAGCCGCTGGATAGACTTGCTGCAATTATACAAGTCATCAAGATTCCCCACCAAACGATTCATCGATAAATCAAGAACCTGAATCTCACCAGATGAGCTGCAGAGTTCAGGATGAATCTCACCCTCGAACAAATTGTTGCTTACATTAAGCATCACAATACCAGGAAACACTCCAACATCCGATAACTTCCCGCTCAGCGAATTGCTGGAAATGTTCAGCGACTGAATCAGCTTTAAACCAGAAACCGCTCCCAAAACTGACCCTGATAACAAATTATGGCTCATATCAAGAACTTCAAGCTGCTCTAACTTGGAAATCTCCACTGGTAATTCGCCTTTAAGCTGGTTACGAGATAGATCAAGTACTCGCAGCTCACTCAACTCGCCTAAAGACCCCGAAACCACACCTTCCAAACCCTTATCAGAAAGAACCAACTTTGTAACTCGACCAGAAACATCACCCCCTTCACAAAACACACCATCCCATTCACAACAACGCGAACCGTTTAACCAAGGTTCCGTAACAGACATGTTCTTCAACGCTCCTGCGAATTCCCGGAGTGCAGATAAGTCGTTGGGATGACATGTCAGGCTCACAGATGAACCAACAAAGAAGGCTAATAGGAGAATGATCACCATGACTAACACACAAAGACAAGAGTCTTCTCTAGCCAGCTCAAATCACAGCAAAAGACTAAAATAAAGACTGAAACTTTCATGAGTCACATGCTCATGTCCCAAAAGAATCGAGCTTTCACAACTTGTAGTTGAAGCAAGATTGTGGAAGCAAATTGAAATCAGCAACACGTATCTTCCTGAAAATCGAATCCCAAGAAACAGAACGAAATCAAAAGTAGAAACTAAATGCTCAAATCCCAAAAACCACCTCGAAAAATCAAGAATCACATACTATTGAAGACTTGTAACTTAAGCAAAACTCAAAAACATAAACAATAACAGTAAGAGAGTATAAAGTAAATACCTTTAAGCAGCAACAGCTTAAGCAATCACAAATTTTGCCAATAAAAACCTTTAATTTGCCAATTCCCAGATAAAGTTAAGAGCTTTCGAGTTCACAGCCGCCACTGAAACATCGAAAGTTTTGTTTTTTTTTGTAAGGAAACGATAACTACGAAGATTTGTTTACAAGGGTTTTTAATGTCGCATTAGCAAGTGCAGGTCTTTTTCGACCAAGAGACAGAACCAATAAAAAAAGTGAAGTGAAAAACAGAGTAGTTGGGATTCAAATTGTCAATGTTTTAACTTTCGAAATCGAAACAGTGAAGAAGACGATAGAAGATTGAGAAGAAAAAAACGGAAAAGGAAAGTTCTTTCGTTTTCTCAAGAACAGTGAGAGTTACTATTAACTTTTTTAGAGACAGGTCTCAAAAGTCTTGTGCCCTTAACTTAATTTAATTTTTATGTTTTTTTGTTTAATACAAATTATTAAATTACTATTTTAATTTTGTGGACAAAATTCTGCACAACTATTTATTGCAGCTCACAAGTGTTTATATTCTAGGAATAATAAACGTAACAGTTTTTTATAAGACCAAAAAAAAAATGTAACAGTTTGACTGTAATTCTATATTCACAATTGTTTTCACTTATTTTTTTAAAATTATATGTTGATAGATTGTTACAAAATCAAGAATTTTTTGTACACATTAGTGGGAAACAACTTTGTGGTTAAAACAAAGTCAAGGAAAGTTTGTGGTTTTAGTCAAAACATTTTCCACAGGCTTTTTCGTTTTTCTTTTATAAATTTGTCGCATTAAGAAAACATTGGACAAAGTTTGCTTGTCTTTCTCTATTGTAAATACCTACTTCTGTCCTTTTAGCACAAACACAACATACAAATTTATGAAAATTTAACTAATATGAACTTAATAGTTTTCTGTAAAAATTCGATGATCCAATTATGTAGCTAATATTTATTGTGTTACCATAACGAATAAATCAGAGATGGAAAGAGAGAAAATGAAAATGAGTTGGAATAAGTTTTGGACGGTTTTACTCTTGTGATTCAAATATTTTAAAACGCGTTAAAAATGTTATTTTTTATATGAGCATCGCATTAAAATTTTATAATATTGTTTAATGTATTTCTATAATTATTTATGAGAATAGTATGTGAGTATAATTTTAGATGTACAATTAATAAAATCACATGATAAATTTCCATCCAAATTTTGCTCATTACATTTTTATCATTTGCTAATAAGAAATGATTAAATAATCATTTACTTAATTGTAATTATGTATCAAAAAAAAAAAAGTCAATACAAAAACCCACCTTGTCTAGTAATGAGTAGATGTATTTTGTAACCATTACATATTATACATTGACAAAAAAAAATCAATACAAAAACCAACTTTTTTCAAGTAAACAGAAATGACTAAATGAGTAGATATTTTATGACTATTAAATTACCATAAATACATGCATATGCAAACTATTTCAACCCATAGACGTTGATTTATGTATCGGACCTCTCGTGAAAGTTGTGACGCATCATGGCTATTAGCGGTGCACGTGGCCCGTGGAGAGTGACGTTCCTTAGAGCCGTGTGGGTTCAGTTTGGACTTTCAGGCGGACGTCACGGGAACGATGCCGTGAAAGATGTGGAACCGTTGAACTTGAAATCCTGACCATAAAAGCCAGAGCCACGGGTCCCACGTGACTTCTACATTTTTCATTTATGGTATATCTTTATTTTGGGAAGTGTATTCGAGGTTCAAACGTTTCGCTAAACCGGGATCAAACTATGGTTATCACCTGGTTAAGACTAAGAAAGAGTGAAGATGTGTGTGTGTGTCCTCATGTGTGAGAGAGGTTGTTGGTGAAAGAGAATTGATACAACCATACAATAATCAATTAACAATACTATGAATAGTCTCTGCATAATGTTAGGATAAAATTGGAAAGAGACACTTGACTGTACTAATGTATTTGAAGTAGTTTATACAAAACTTTCGTATAAAAGGTGAAGTTAGTACATAGACTATACTGAGTGCACCACAACGTTGATAAAAAAAATGTGTCCGGTCTATTTTCATACTATAATATTAAGTGAATTAAAGTAATGTTTGGGAGCATCGAAAATGGAGTGATGTCTATTGATAATGTATTGTATAGTCAACTGATCACACACCGCAAATCACGTGAAGTCATCGAACCGTACACCTATCGGCCTCCTACTTTGTTTGGTTTTCAAGTCTTCTCTAAGATCAAACCTCGAAACTATCGCACTTCAATCACTATTGTTATTAGTCTTTGATTAGTTTAATTTATTGAAATCACCCTTCTTTGTCGTCCTCTTCGTACTATGGGTCAATGGGTGTAGTTAACTAATTGACCTATCTTACATATCTAAGATAATCTGGTTTGGCTAGTACAAAGAATTTAAAGAGATACAACTACAATATCTCTCCAAAACGTGTTTTAAACCTTTGTGAGAATTGTATTATGTAGTAAAAGAAGACAAGGATCACATTACTAGCTTATGTCTCAAATCACCACCAGCGTAGAGTCGAAGGATTCCTTGTCAAATATGTCTTCCAAGCCGCAGTCCACGCCATCTGGAGAGAGAGGAATGGACGACGGCATGGCGAGAAGTCTAACACAGCAGCCCAAATGATAGGGTGGATTGACAAGCAAGTTAGAAACCAGCTCTCAGCGATTCGACAACAAAGGGATAGGCGGTATGAGGAAGGGTACCAAATCTGGCTCCAAGCTCGCACTCCTACACTTTGATGTCGTTTCTAATTCATTAATGCGCTGTTTCAAATGTTTTAAAAACTCTCAACTTTCGTCGATCGCACTCGTTGTAAAACCGATATTTTTTCTTTTGAATATAATTTAACATTAAATTCAAAAAAAAAAAAGACAAGGATCTATATAGGTTATAATAGACATGTGACATACCAAACCCAAAAACAAAGATGACCCTTGTCTGGTCTTTTCATTCGACTGTCCAAGATATATATAAATAATTCCACAAATGTTGAGAACCATTGAAATAATGATCCTTCCACAAATGTTGAAAATAATTAAGAAATGGTTCGGATACTTCGGATAATTACTTAGACTCATACTTTTTTATTCAGTCGAGTAAACTATGTTGTATCAAATGGAGAATTTCTATTACTTTTACCCAAAAAGTTGGATAATTCAAATCGGATGCGAGAGAATCAGCTCAAATCATATAATCGATTCTAAGAAAAACTTATCATAAAATAATTAATGATAAGATGAATATGGGCTCATATTCTAAGCCCAGCCCATAGAAGTCTTTTGGCTGAATAAGGAAAGCCAAAAAAAAATCTAAACGGTGTATGAAATGCACTTTTTGAGTTTTGAGTATATATTTATAAGATATTGCAATTAATTAAATTAATTAGTTGAATTTACTAGAAAAATCGTCAATAAAAAAGATATATAAATCAGAGTAGGGCGGCCATCCACTTGGTTTGAAAGAGACTGAAGTGGAATCCAACCATATGATAATACACATAAAGATCCAAAAGTAATATAGTCCTGCTTTTTCAAATTAATATGCATGATTCATGAATATACGTAAAAAGAACCAACTGTTTTCCCCACTACATAGTATCATTCCCCTCCATTTTTCTCTACTTCCATAATCATCCCCTTCATAAACATTATCGAAATTACCGTTCATATGTGATACAAAATCGAGTTAATTAAAAAAATGTTTGTGATCTAATGGGTTTGCACCATCATTTTATGTTTAATGTTAAACGGATAAACTAAAACATGCATCCATAGTTAGAAAATTTGTGCCACATTACGGTTAAAAGGACCATTGTACATATGATTTGCTCATTTCCCGGAAATTGAAGTTCGAACTACAATTTCAAAGATTGTGTGTATACGTAAAACAAAATTATTGTTTATTATACAAGTTATTTGTTAGTTGTGAATAAAATTTTAATACACAAAGAAATTGGCCACCGCCAGTACACTATCACTCCAGCTGAGCTAAAGCTCGTGTGTCTTTTGTGTGTATGCGGTTTAAAAAGAAACATGATTGAAAATAAAAAAGAATTGGTTGGAGAAGGATACTAAAATTCAATGGAGTGGGACCAAATGAAAGCATCATTATTAAACGAGAAGAAAAAGACAGGATTGGTGAACAAAAAAAAAAAAGAAAAAAAAAGAAAAAGACAGGATTGTTAGAGAAATGTCAAAAAAGCACAGTAATAAGTAACTAAAAAAAACAAATCCAATCAATTCTCTACTTTCATTAAAGCTTAGTTTTTAAGTAAGCAATGTGTAATGTGTGAGTGAGATTGTGTGAGAGAGAAAAGAAGAAGATAAGTGAGAGAGAAAAATGAAGTTCTTGTTCCAGTGTCCATGTTGCTCTTGCTTCTGCTTCATGAAACCAAAGCCAGGCAAACCAAAAGCTGTTGGAGATATAAAACCAAAGGAAGAGAAGAAGAAAGAGGTGAAGAAAGAAGAGATCAAGAAAGAGGAGAAGAAAGAAGAGAAGAAAGAGGAGAAGAAGGAAGCCAAAGCAGAGAAGGCTGAGTGAAAAACTCTACTTTGAGAAAATGTAATTAATCATCCCATTTTTATATTTAATCTCTATGATATATGATGATTATGAATGCTCAAGTAGTAACATGTAATTTTTATGGTTTAGTAACCTTGTTTTTTTTTTTTGCCAATATGGTTTAATCTCTTATAATATATCAATGTGGCTTGTTTGAATTTACTCTTCTGATCAACATGTGGAAGATTATGATTATTGTTTATGGTTATTTAAGTAAGTATATGAACCAATTCAAAACTGAATCTAGTTCATTTTTGTCTTGAGCTAAAGTTCACTTTTATCTTTGTTGTTCATAGAGATTCACTGAAAAGTAAACAAGAATATCAATCAAAACATGTTTTTAAAAGGATTTTTTACATCGAGAAGTTATAAGATTCTAAAGAAACATACAAGTATTGGTTTCGTTTTTTTCTCTTGTTTTGTATTTTGGTTACTTCAATTTGGATAGATTAGAGTTTACTATATCTAAAGACGCCAATTCATGATATAACAACTATGGTCTTGGAAAGCGATACATGAATTCGTTTTCTTAGTGCAAATACAAAAAGACTCCACTTTGTCTATGTTAGTAAGTATATCAACTACCTTATCACCGAAAATGGATGGTCTTTCTAATAAAAATAAGTGCTTAAAACATTTACTCAACAATGTGATTCTTCTTTTTGTCAAAGCTCAACAATGTTGATTCTTCTATAACTGGATCTCTCCCTCACCAAGTGTATTTCATATGCCCTCTTCTGGTGAGCTATTGGGCCTTTGCTATCCAGCTTAACTTGGGCTTCGAAGCCTTTTTAACATCGCCCACCACATCTCACTAAAAAATCCAGTCCACGAAGTCCATTCCTTACAAGTTACAAATAAGCAAGTAATGGCTAACACCTAGCTGGCTATTTCTATTTCAAAAACAACAACCCGAAAGTAGAATCATATTAGACCTAATCACTAGATTTCATTTATATTGGAACAAAAAAAGATATGAAATCAAACTAAAAATGGAAAACCAGCCCATTTTGTCAATATGTTTAACAAATTTAAATTTTCATTAACAAAATACTAATAATCAAATAGAAAAAAATCCATTATTCAAATCACTTTTTATGGGAAGTGAATTAATACGTGAGTCAAAATCTCACACGTCTTAACATAAATGCCTTTAATTTCTGTCACAACGTTCAAAATCCTTATTACCTTACCAAAGAAAATTCTCTTTGATATAAAGAAAGAAAGTCTTCTGGCACCAATCTTCGTATTCCATTTTTGTAAATTTCAGAGATTTTCTTTGATTCTCCTTATTCTCCTAAATTCCTATATATTCATTACATAACTTTACTCTTTCAACACAACTCAACACAAACACAAAAACCCTAATTTTCAGATCTCCGTAAACCATGTCGGCGATCATGAAAACTCTTTGTTTCTCCTTCGTTATTCTCGCTTCTTTTGCAACTTTCTTCTCCGTCGCTGATGCATGGAGGTTTAACGTCGGAGGTAACGGTGATTGGGTTATAAATCCTCAAGAAAACTACAAAACTTGGGCTGAAAGAAACCGTTTCCAAGTCAATGACACTCTATGTAAGTTTCTTTTCTTTGTTAGGGTTTTAAACTTGAAGGCTTTTATTTTGATTTTAACCAAAAATGTTTCAATCTTTATGCAGATTTTAAGTATGCGAAGGGATCAGATTCTGTTCAACAAGTGATGAAAGCTGATTTTGATGGCTGCAATGTTAGGAATCCGATCAAGAACTTTGATAATGGTGAATCTGTGGTGACTCTTGATCGATCTGGTCCTTTTTATTTCATTAGTGGTAATGAAGATCACTGTAAAAAGGGACAGAAGCTGATCGTCGTTGTCCTCGCCGTCAGAAATCACCCTACGGTTCCTATTTCTCCGGCGAAACCTCCGTCATCAGCTCAGCCTCCAAAATCTCATTCCCCTGTTCCTTCAGTTTCTCCGGCTCAACCTCCTTCAACGGCTCAACCACCTAAAGCTCATTCCCCTGTTTCTCCGGCTAAATCTCCTTCTATGGCTCAACCTCCGAGATCCTCTTCTCCGGCGACTCCTCCGTCAAAATCTCAGCCACCTAAATCCTCTGTTTCTCCAGCACAACCACCTAAATCTTCTTCCCCTGTTTCTCATTCACCAGCTCACTCGCCGGCGCATGCTCCATCTCACTCTCCGTCGCATGCTCCATCTCAATCTCCGGCGACTCCATCTCCGTCACCAAAATCTCCTGTTTCTCACTCACCGTCGCATGCTCCATCTCACTTTCCGGCGACTCCATCTCCGTCACCAAAATCTCCATCCCCTGTTTCGTCTCCATCCCCTGTTTCATCTCCATCGCCTGTTCAGTCTCCTGCTTCTCCTTCTGACCAGACTACACCTTTGTCGCCATCTCCTTCTGAAACAACTCCGACCGCCGATAGCATCACAGCGCCGGCCCCAAGTCCCAGGAAAAACTCAGCAAGTGGTTTAGCCGTTACTTCGGTTATGACTACACTATTAAGTGCGGCTTTTTCATTTTTGATGTTTGCTTAAGATTAAACAAATGCATTTTCGTGTTTTGATTTAGGTTTTCTTTATTCTATTGCTGAGTTTTATTGTCCTAGTCTCTACTCTGTCGGGATTTTTTTTCCTCTTCTTTGTGTCGTAGTTTCGCATTATTGGATTAGTGTTTTTTGTAATAAATATCAGTTTGTTGTTCTAAGCGTTTTTTCCTTTTGACATCATCGACGATTTAAAGATTTGCATGAGAAAAACACAGTATGATCATGAATCTATGATCATTGTTAGTAACATATTATTTCCAACTTAGAATTCATTATTGTTGAATACTTAAATGTGTCAACAAAGTAAGAAGAGAAGTATTCGTATTATATTATGGCCGGTCATTTCTAATAAGTTGGTTACTCTAAATTTGGTTATACAACTCATAATTCTTAAATGAAAATCATTCACAAAGTTGATTAGTAGTATTATTTTTATATATCGTTTTCAATATACAATTTTTTGTTTGTTTGTTGAAGTATCGTTCTCAATATTTCACATTCAAACAATAATGGATTTCAGTCCCTATATTGATCTATTGCCTTAATTGCGGGTCAAGTTTTTCCAATTATAGATATACTAATATGACACATTGAATCTAATTAAAGTCCATGTGTCGTTTTGGAAACGTCCGTCATTATCTTCTAATTATGGTGACTATCAAACAATGAAGATTGAGAAATCTCGTAATATCTCGAGAACTTTCTCAACAAATATCTTCATTGTTTTGTTTTGTTGCTGGTTACGATAATCTCGTATTACGAAAATCCATATCGAATTCAAAATAAATGACTCAAGAACAAAGGCCTAACCTAGATTATTCTTAACGAAGCAAACTTTGATATCGTGGACTAAGTTAAGGTGTTAGATAGTTATTCTATATATATTTTTTTTGACATCAAGATAGTTAATTATTCTATTATGATCATTATTCTTCTATTAGGTGAATGTATAAATTTTGAATTTGCTAACTATGATCCTTATTTGAAAATTAATTCATCCAATTATTCTACTTTTCAATACTTCCAAAGTTCAAATGCTTATATAATTCAACGTCCAAATAAATGCTACTTACGTATTCCCATTTATGGTGTAAGAATAAAATACTCCACTAAAACGAAAAAAATAAAGGATTAATTGCAATGAAGGATTTGGAAATTGGACGGACCATAATGCGAGTTTACACGACTTCGTAATCAGATCAATCACTTGTTAAATTCTTGTAGCTACCAAAAAGCTCCACGTACGTGAAGGTCAACATCAAATTTCCTTAAAAAACGATAAAACCAAAAGCTAAAACCTTGAAGTAACTATTGATAACAAGAGCTTTATATACATACACTTCTCGATTGAACAATAACAATTTGATAAAATTCCATTTGTCAAAAAAAGTCGATGTTCTATCCAAAATGATGTAGATAGATACTTAATTATATAAAAAAGGTAAGATCTTACGTAATACCATAACATGAAAGACACGTAACTCGTGAAAAATGTGACGGTGAGACACGAGGACTTGTATAAGAGAGTGATTGATTGGAGAACGACGAAAGCTAAGTCCAAAGCATGAAAGAAAGATCGTCGTATACACGTGGCGGTATACAATGAATCTGCCAAGTGTCCGCAAAAACAACATTTCTTTTAAGTGTAATAGTATTCGACACCCATCAAGATTCATATATCAAAGCATATTTTCATCAAAGAAGCACAAAAACTCAATTCATAATCCATTTATCCTAGATTCGTTCGACACGCTTGGCTGGTTAAAAGAACCACCACTTCCTTTGCCGGCTACCCTGTGTTAGAAACAGAGAAGTCAGTCCAAGAAATTCAAAAAGAACCAAACTAAATCAAGAATGATAGGTTTATGGAGTTTATAAGGATGTATAACAACAAATGAGTTCTTAGGTTCGAATTGCAGACAGTTTTGAGTGCATAATCGGATTGATGACAATGACTAGTTTTAGGTTCTATTTTCAGGGCAAAGAGCTTCTTGTATGATCTAATTTGGAACTTTATTTAGTGTGTAAGAGAGAATCAAGTAGGCTTATTCTTGTAACCAATTCAATTGTTACCTTTTGAGCTTTCTTCTGTGACTTTAACAAGATGGGTTGCGGAAGAACAGCCATGCTTGAGTCTTGGATGAAAGGTCTCACTTTCTCCTCCAACATTTCCTCCACCTACAGATACAAAAGATAGAACGGTATGCATTGGAGTCGTGAATGTGATACGAATACTGAATTGTGTCAAAATGTTCCTTGATTAACCTTCTCTTGGCGCCATTTAGCTTCCCATTGTGCATCCAAGATTTTGTCTGCGATTTCTCTTTGGGCATTGAGAAGAACTGTCTTCTCATACAGTTTTGCCGGGTTTTTTAGGTCCTCTTCACTCCAAGAGGAAGTATTCAATGGGAGATTCAGTTCCTGTATATGTTCAGCAGTTAGTTTTTAACTATGGCCGTGGTCTCAGGAACACAAATAACATAATCTGTGATGCTAAAACCAAAAAGAAGAAGAGAGCTTACACCCCAATTCTGAGGACGGGGAGGTGGACTGAGTTTCGTGACTTCAGCCTCAAGAGATTTCTTCGCCTTGTAATAAGGAACATTTTTCACTACGACGGGGTCTTCCCGAGCACGGACAGGATCAATGGAGACCAAGGCCTGTAAAAGCATGAAAACTAAATGGTGATTGCTAAAGTCTTCAGTTAACGTATTCTAATTTAGTTCCCTAGATTTGTGTAAAATCTTTAAAAACCACAAAGGCGATCTTACATCCTGCAAATATTCCCAGCCAGGATTGCGTTTAGCCACCAAGTCCCGAAGTTGATCATATCGCATAGATTCCTGATCGCAGAACATATATATAGTTTACTATCATTGATGCTTAAAGCTGAATTATTCAACATCAATAGCCGCCCTAAGGTTTCCTATTGCACAGAAAGAAAATTATATGCGACGCAGAGACCTGAGCACATCAGTATCCCACAAATGTCTCAAATTCCATAGCACAAACATATCCAGATATGGAACAGAAACTATCTTGGTGTAGCAAAACCATCCCAAATGAGGATTAAGAAGATTCAACTTTCAGCTAATTGTAGACTAAAGCTTTTACAGTATGCTTGCTTTAAGCCTCTAGAAGACCATAACCTTCAAATGACAGTAAACTCTAAAGTAGAAGCCTGGTAAATAAGTCTTTCTACTAACCTCATATTGCCACCATATTTTCTTCTTGACATCTTCATCATAATCAAACCCACCCACAATCTGAGGCAAAGTGATCAACCAGAAATTTGCAATGCTCGGATCTTTCATGCTGTGAACAATGTGCTGAGATAGAAAATATGACTCATAAGACGGTAAGATGTGGTAAACCTAGCAAACTATTGGGTCGATAAATAGACTTTGTGGTGCTCACCTCATACGGATAATCCATCTTCCTCAGCACATTATAGGCTTTCCATGGAGGTTCCATGATCTGCAAAATGAATCGTCAGTATGGGTATTTAACAAGTGATATATGCAAAACCAAGCTACCTCTCTGTGCGCATTTAATACCTAATAACTAGTATATATACATCCCACAGGGGATTTATGTAGATGTTAAGCTGAGAAGACGTAATAGCAGACGCAAAACATACATCATCAGCCGAGATCCTGACTTGCAGCTTGTTCTTGCACTCAGTACAGCTCATCACGCCCTGCAATATTAATAGATGTTCCATCAAATTAATTAGCATACACTGATGTACAAACAGCCTATCTCGATCACTCTTTACACACATACAAGTACCTTATTACGTGGATATGAAATTAGCAGTAATTGACAATATAGCAGCGCAAATACATTTACTGAAGCCTAGAGCATTAGCAGAGAGATTAAAAAGCTTACCGTTCCATCACAAGTTGGGCAGTCTTTTGATGGCAATGGAGCACTATGGTTGATGGAGGAGGGAAGATGAACCAACTCAGCTCGATTCTCAACTATGGCATCTGCGACGCAATCTGCTGTTGGTTTCTCTCCACTACAAAATTAAGACAGAAAGGAGAAATCTTTAAGTTCTTTTATGTATGTTAGAATATCACTTGAATAACTAAAGCATTAACATACACCATTTTAAGAATACTCAGAGACTTATCAGAATAACGGTTGATTGATTGATTCTCATGAAGTCTAATGGTTGAAGCGATAATAACTTGGTTTAACAAGAGACAATCTCACCTTCTCAAGTTGTAATCTTTGATTTGGTAATGAACACTCCCTGTTCCTTTGCACATAGTGCACCGTAATGCCTGCCACCCATTACAAGTTTTGCAATCCCTAACCAACAGAAAAACATGTTCATTTCACTGAATGACCTCAAACAGTTGACAACATGTGAACCAAAAATTCTCTAACTCAGAAAAGTAATGCATCAAAAACTAAGACTAACTTCAAATCTTGAAGCTGACCTTTGGCATATGACTTTCTTTCCCAAATCCAATGCAATGTCATAAGTTCCTAACGTAGCAACCGCCTGCAATCAATAGAGCTTCAATGATAAATAGATTCCATATACCACAAGTAAAACAGATAATACTCAGTTTCCTAAACTGATTCTGATCTACTACAACTTCGAACTCAAATTAAAGTTCAAAACTTTAGCAAGCATTCGGAGAACAATTTTCACGGCAACATCATATACGAAAAAACCCAGAAAGAAAATGATAATCCCAAAGCTAGAAACTCAGCAAAACCAACAAAAGTTTCAACATTTACTACAACTACATGTCGAGTTCTAAACCCCATGACCATATAAATTTCAGGAGAAAACAACTCACGAAAACAGAGAGATACGAAATTTTGGAGATGAATTCAGGGATGCCAAAACCACGAGGTGCAGAGCCAGCGATATCAAAAGCGAGAGTGAAAGGAGACAAGACAAGCTTGATTGGGAAATCGAGAATGTCTATGACTTGTTGTCCATAACGAGTAGAGAATTGTTTGAATTGAGCATCAGCGAACTGTGTTACGTTCTGTATCAAACGACCTGGCCCTCTCGACATTGGAGAAGAAGAAGAAGAAGATAAGACCTTCTCTCGCTCTCTGGTTTTGGGTGATGTTTGAAGAGGGTTCAAGAGTGGTTTTACACTATTCTTATCTTGAATGTTGATAGACTTATTCTTTGTTACCAAACATGTCACTTTTTATTAGACTACGTGTCGTTTTTGAGTGAGAAAAACGACAAGGAGTTGCATCTTTTCTATATTTGCGGCGATGACGGCGACGATACGGCGCCGTGGTTGATAAATTTCGTGCCCCATTCATTGACGTTTTAACCTTAAAACAGTGTGTGCCCAGTAAAAATTGAAATTTGCTATGAAAGTTTAAAATTTTTGGATTTTGGTTCTAAAGCAAGATAAATGCTCTACTTAAAAATGCAAACTTTACGCAACTTTGGACCTTAAATAAAAAATTAACGAAAATTTAAGGGAAAATGAAAAAGGAATCATATTCTCTGAAAGCAGATAAAACCTGCGTTTCATTCCTCTGAAAAGCTCCAATTTTTCAATCTCTGTACCTCTCTCTCTGAGAATCTATGGCGGTGGCTGCAGCTGCGATGATCGGGTTTCCACAGGCGTATCTGGAAGGGAAGGAGGTGAAGGAGACGAGTTCGTTGGTCACTGAACTCTGTCGTCATTTTTATACTCAAGGTTGGGTATCTGGAACAGGCGGTAGCATAACGATGAAGGTTCATGATGCTTCGATTCCTAAACCGGAGCAACTTATCGTCATGTCTCCTTCAGGTTCTCTACATCTCAAAGTCGCTTTCTTTAACTCTGATTCTGATTTTGTTGCCTCTTTGAACTTATGTATGTGCCTTTGCTCTATTGAGTTGGTGGGGTTTGTTCTCGTATACCTTCAATTTGCTATATGAGCTATGCGTTTGATTAGTTAGAATCATCTTGTGTAGTTATGCTCCTAAAATAAGCACTCTTTATGTGGACAATTGTGTTGGTCTTTCAGTGTTGAGAAGCGTTCTCTTTGTGCATTTGAATCATTGTTGACTTATTTGCTATATTGACTTATTGAGTTAATGAAAAGGGATTATATCGTAATGCTGATTCCATGTGTTATTGAGTGTTATTTGCTTTACTAATTCGCTGATTCTTGTTGTGTTTGAAGGTGTTCAAAAGGAAAGGATGCAACCGGAGGATATGTACATCTTATCTGCAAATGGATCCATCATATCTACACCCTCTCCAAAGCCATACCCAAATAAGCCTCCTAAGTGTACGGACTGTGCTCCTCTTTTCATGAAGGTATGGTTTTGCCGCGTTCTAGGTAGTAAAACTTGATTCTCCTTTAGGGATTTCTGTGTACTAAGCTTGATTATCACTTTGCTATTGCTGAATGACATTTTGATATTGGCCTATTTGGCCTACTTTATCCTATGGTATTTTCTTTGATGATTGTGCATTTTGTGTTTCTCACAAACTTTTTGCAATACTGGTTTCTCATAAAAGTGTTGAGCAGCACTTACGGATTTCAAGTTATACTGTTTTCTGTTTAGAAGGATTTTTCTTAGAGCACATGGTTATGACCCAAATAGGTTAAGAGCTTGTCGCTCTTTTCTAGTGGTATTTTGGCCTGCCTCCCATTTAGCTGGTGATCTTTTCCTGGAATGGCAAATACGTTGTTTGCTAATGATTGTTGGATTACAATCCAAAAAAGTGCAGAACAGGCGGCTTTCTTTGGGGAAACGCTTGCGAAAACTCGGTTACAAGGTAAAACTTGTCCAATTTAAGCAATAATCCCCTCGTTGGATGTGTCAAGTGGGTTTCTTCGACCCATAGAATATCCACTAAGTTGCACTGGTTGAAATGGATTCAGTCAAGTGTTAGAAGTTAGAACAAACACAATGGGCTCAGAAAAATGAACTGATATGTAGAGCGTATTGATGTTTACACAGACACTCTTGAAAATGGAGGTTTGGGTGTAACTTCTCTTCACTTATCAAAAAGATCTTTCTTGGGTTCAGTTGATCAGTGAGGTTGCATGATCAGTGCTTGTAATGTGTAAACTTATATATGATTTGCATGTATGTTGAGACAATCAGTAAGTTGTGTTTCAACAAGTTGTATGTGGTCTGTTTTAATGCCAAATTGACTTGCTTTGTTTGTATGATTTCCCTTTTTATTTTATAGATGTCCAATCTCTAATAACATTGAGATAGTGACGTTATCAATAAGTTTCATAGCATTACCTTGTTGTGGTTCAGGCATATGAGATGCGAAATGCTGGAGCTGTTATTCACAGTCATGGCATGGAATCTTGTCTTGTGACGATGCTGAATCCGCAAGCCAAAGAATTCCGTGTAAGTCGAATAATGCTAATATTGCATACAATTCCAGGTTCCCCAGTAGAGTTAGGACTTTGCATTTTAATGTTTCTTCCTGTTGGACATTTCACAGATAACTCACATGGAGATGATAAAAGGGATTCAAGGTCACGGATACTATGACGAACTTGTTGTCCCAATCATAGAGAACACCGCATATGAGAATGAACTAACAGATTCACTCACCAAAGCTGTAAGTCTAATTGTTCTGAGGAAGCTTGAAATGAGTATATGCAACAAAAGAATGGTTTTAATTAGTTTTGACATATTTCATTCTCATTTTCAGATAGAAGCCTATCCAAAAGCAACAGCAGTGTTGGTACGCAATCACGGAGTTTACATTTGGGGTGATTCTTGGATCCATGCTAAGACACAGGTTTGTGCAAGTTACTTCAATATTTGGTTGAAAATTGAGAAACCAACAATAAGTTCTATGCCGTTTTCTTATGTTATTCATATATTTGTTTGCTTCTATTTATAAACTTTAACTATCACTTCCAGGCTGAATGTTACCATTACCTGTTCGATGCTGCCATTAAGCTTCATCAACTGGGTCTGGATGCTGCTACTCCAGACCACGGGCCTATCCGAAGAACCATACATTCACAGAATCAAATTTCAACAAAACTATCTGTGAAATCCGGGGTCAAGGATTCACAAAACGAAACAGAATGGCCTCGGGTAAAAAGTGACTGATGTCTCTTGTCATATATCTCTCGAAGTCTAAATTTACTTATAACCTGTTTGGTTGCAGCGATGTATTGTCCTCGACATTGAAGGAACAACTACGCCCATTACTTTCGTCACAGATGTTCTCTTTCCTTATGCTCGTGAAAACGTTGGAAAGCACCTGAATTTGACATATGACACAGCAGAAACCCAAGAGGATATTAAGTTGTTGCGGGCTCAAGTAATAACAAATTAATTTCCTCTTCTAACTTACTTTATTATTTAATCATCTCTTCTCATAAACAAGTGACTAAAGTTCATCTCTGGAATTTGTTGCAGGTTGAGGAAGACTTGAGACAGGGTGTAACCGGCGCTGTTCCTATTCCTCATGCTGATGAAGGAAAAGAAAAGGTCATTGCCGCTATGGTCTCAAACGTAGAGGCAATGATAAGAGCTGATAGAAAGATCACTGCTTTAAAGGAATTGCAGGTGATCAAAAAAAAAAAAACAGACTCCGCCTTTATTTTTATTGTTGACTTCAATATTGTGTGGTAAAGGCTATATGAGTTTTTGTATGCAGGGTCACATATGGCGAACGGGTTTTGAGTGTAATGAACTGAAATCTGTTGTTTTCGAGGATGTAGCAGATGCTTTAGAGAAATGGCATTTTTCAGGAATTAAGGTATGTTGGTGTAGCTTTTAAAGAAATGACATTTTTTCACAGGTCTAATGGGTTTTTATGCGAATAGGTTTACATATATTCTAGCGGTAGTCGATTAGCGCAAAAGCTTCTCTTTGGGAACACAGACTATGGAGATCTGAGAAAGTATTTATCTGGCTTTTTCGACACTACAATCGGGTATATAAAAAAAGATCTATCCACTTCCCTTTCAATAGAATATGATCCAACTATAAATCTCATACGCTTTGTGGCTACAGAAACAAGAAAGAAAGTAAAAGTTACAAGGAGATTACAGAAACATTGGGAATGGATGATCCTTCAGACATTTTGTTTGTAACAGATGTTTATCAAGAAGCCACAGCTGCAAAAGCAGCAGGTAAAAAAACACACAAAACTCTTACCTCCCATTTACTTCAAAACCGATAAGAGATTCTGTTTTTAAGGAAACTAAGTTTGTTTCTCAATTCTGGTTGTAAGGTCTGGAGGCGATTATATCGATTCGACCTGGAAACGCTCCATTACCGGAGAATCACGGGTTCAAGACTGTCACATCATTCTCCCAAATCTAGAGTTTCCTCTATGTATCTTCTTTTATCTTATGGAGTTGCACTTGATTTGAGCACATTTACCAAATAAAAACAAACTTGATAATAAATCTAAATGTAGAGCTTTGACTTAAAAAACTCATATCTGTTTTTACTGGTGGATCAAATCAGTTAAGTTTGAATACTCGTTTGAAGAATTTTGTGCTCAAATAAGCCCATTTAGTCTCTGAGGCCCATGATCAAATCTGCCCAATAAGTGTCAAAATCTTCTCTATAAAAGCCCAACTGCTTAATTGAGTCAGTGGTTAAGCATAATCGTGTGAGAACCTTAAAAACCCTAGCCTTCTTTTGATAAGCTTTGTGAAGAGAAACAAATGGTGAAGACAAAAATTTGTGACAAAGGGTCGAGTCAAGGATCAGAGGAAGACAGGATAAGCCAATTACCTGATCATTTGATATGTCAGATTCTTTCTCATCTTCCCACAAAGGATGCTGTAAGAACAAGCATCTTATCCACAAGATGGAGAAATCTTTGGCAATTGGTTCCTGTATTGGATTTAAACGGCCGCGAGTTCCGGTTATTCAATGAGTTTGTGAGTTTCGTTGGCAGGTTTTTTGACATCCACAAAGACTCATGTATACAAAAACTATGTTTACGTATTAGTGATCAAGCTGGTAAGTCGTATCTCACCTCATGGATAGATGTTGTGACTAGGCGTAGGATTCAGCATATTGATATTAGTCATGTTTTTTACCGTCCTGAATTCGGTGACATACCCCTGAGCTTGTATACTTGTGATACACTGGTACACTTACGACTCTATCTACTCACCATGGTTAATGTCGAGTTTGTTTCCTTACCTTGTCTGAAGATCCTGCATTTAGAGTTTGTTAAATATACCAACGAGACCACGTTGGATAAACTGATCTCATGCTCTCCAGTTTTAGAAGATTTAACCATTGTCAAATATTGTGAAGATAATGCAAAGGTTCTACAAGTACGCTCTCAGACACTAAAGAGACTCGACATACATGGGTGGTTTGATCGACATACTAGACTTGTTATCGATACTCCTCTACTCCAGTTTTTGAGGATTAAAACTCACTCAATAGAGAACACTGAATTCATCAATCTAGGTTTCACTACCAAGGTAGATATTGACTTCAACTTGCTGGATCCAAACGACTTATCAAACAGAAGCACGACTCGCGATTTCTTCATCAGTATATCAAGGGTCAGGTGTCTAGTACTTAGTTATGATACTATCAAGGTATACATGTGACAATATATGTGAGTATACAAATCTTCTTTCTATAAAGTATATATTATCTCTAACATTGTTTCTTACTCTTCCTACCAGGACATCTTTCGTTACATGGAATTAGAACCTTTGCATCAATTTTGTTACCTGTCCGAATTGAGTGCTATTTGTTCTATTTGTAATCTGGAAATGTTGCTAAATCTTCTTAAGAGATGCCCGAAACTAGAATCTCTCAGCTTGGTGATGAATTGCTTGACCCTCTCTAATAGTAAAGCATGTTTAGAATAGTGAAGCTTCTCTACTAACTTGTTTTCTTGTACTTTTTGGTTTTCTTAGAAATTGGTTGACTATGAAAAGAATCAAAAAGAAGAGGTGATGTCTTCGACAGTACCACCGTGTTTGGTATCGTCGCTCAAGTTTGTTAAATTGGAAAGTCAGCTCTTTGGATGTGGAACAGAATTGAAAGTAGCAAGGTACTTCCTGGAGAATTCAACAATTCTGGAGAAATTGACTCTAAGGAATGATTATTATGAGGAAAATGTAAACCACATTCGCCAGACACTCCATGCAATACCAAGATGCTCTAGTACTTGTGAAGTTGTTCTTCTTTAGTTACTAAGAATATTGTTGAACAACCCAACATGTTAAGTTATTATTCATGTTTTTTAGCCTTAAGCAATGCATAAGTCTTGCTTATGTTTCTTGATACATTCAATAATTGACTAGCAGTTTTTCCTCTTTTTTTTTTTTTATATAGATATTATTGATTTGAATAATCCTGAGAAAAAATGGTCCAAATACTTTTTATTTGCAACAGTGGTTCCGAAGTTAAATGTATATAAGTTATATTAGTGGCTAATTTACAGAAAAAAAATTAACATCAACTTGGTCTTGAATTTAGATAGAAAAACATTATAAGTTTCGGCCGCATATACATATCTGAAAATTGTTTTATCCAAAATTTCAGAAAATGTGAATAGGAAAGGTGTGGGCAAATTGAAAGTGGAAGTTGCTTGTAATGTGAAGCAAAGATGATTCGACTTTTGCTTGGTTTTCAACTCTCATCATAACGGACTACTTATTTCGTCTTTTACTTTCTTTTACACTCTTTCTCTCCACTTTTTATTTAATATATTTTTATTCAAAGATAATTTTTTTGTCCTTTCAAGTCAAAAGACAAAGCAACAGAAGAACAGTATTAAGTATTAACGTATATCTATTTCTTTAAGCAAAAATAAAATTAAAAAGAATAAATTGAAGAGAAAGTCCAAAGAAATGTTGTAAAAGACCCAAACGTGCCTCCATGATGACTCCATCAAATTCTAAGTCATCATATACCGAAATGGTCCAATACTACGTGTCGAACCTGGTCAGAAATTTCTTTCACGAGTCTCTCTATTTCAAATTGTCTCTTTGAAAGTTTCTTTTATTATTTTAAAGGATATTGAAATTTTCATGTTACTAGTCCAACTTCCAATAGATACTTATTGACAATGACCATTCGATCCACTCATGTTTTCCAATCGCAACCATAAAGACTTTCATATCTATGCTTTTGATGATATCTATTTTTTTTTTTTTATATAAAATACGTTTTTACTTTTTAGGAATATTAAGTCTATATCATAAATTCGAGCATACACAAATCGATTCTCTACATTCGATCTCGATCGTTATTGAGTGGCACACGTTGAAGTAACAATCGTAAGAGCAAAACTATAACTAACGATCTTTTGGAAAAACAAAAAGGATAATAAGTATTGTAAATGAGTATCATCATGAATATATATACTTATGCCTTCCAATTACATATATTGCAATTAAGTTTTGAGATGAAAAGTGAAAGAAAAAAAAAACCGCGGAAAATTTACAGTCACTCCATAACTAAGATCAAACTTATAGATATCTTAGTTATAGCTAAACAAAATCCGGAAATAGATATAATTTAATATCATCTATAGAATCACTCATGGATATCGTCGGGATTAAGGGTTCCTCGCCGGAGAAGTAACCGGAAAAAGAGGAAGAAGCAGTGGCTGAGAGTCTCTAGGAGTTGAGACTGGAGAAGGATGAAGAAAAAAGCCTTTTTCAGCAATGGCTTTGTCTTCTTCAGATGAGTTCCCTAATGATAAAGGCGATGACTTGTTGAAGGGGTCATCGTTGCTTCTCAGTGGCGTAACGGGACTGTTTAGCCCTAGTTTCGGAAAATCCAGCATGCTTGGAGACAGAAGAATATTTTCTGATGCTGAACTGTTTCTTGGAGAGAATCTCGGGCTTTGATGATGACTACTATTTCCTCCTGTGAACATCAATCTCTGAGAGTTTTGAAGCCTTAACGTATTGATCATTAGGTCATTCTTAGCGAACATGTTATTGTTGTTTTGTCTTCTCTCGTAGAGCTTGAAGCTGTTGGTTTTCTTGATGGGTGGAATCGAGAAACTTGATCCCTTGTTATTGTTGTTCACCGGAGAAGGAGCTTCATGGTGTTTTCCGGTGGTGTTATCGGTGGAGGAGCCGGTGAGCATCTGGACGACTTGTTTGAAAGTAGAAGTGTCTGCTTGAACAAATGTTGTTGGGTAAGGATTTGAGAGATGTTGATGCTGGTCATGATGATGAGGAGATCTTATCTGTGGCTGAAACCTAGGAGATGAGATCATAGGAGGTGGGTTTTGCATTTGTTCTGGTTTTGAAGACATGGATGATGTTGAAACTTCCATTAATGAGATGTCTTCGTGTTGTATCGATGTGTGTATATGAGGGAAAGAGATAGAGAGAGAGAGACAGAATGATTGAATAGAAGAAGAAGAAGAGTGGAAGTTGCTGATGTGAATAATGTGTAATGTTGTTTAGTTTTGTCGTGCGACGACAATTAAAAAGACTTTAAAAAGTGAGGTGTCATGGACCCATCTCTCATTCTCTTTCTTTCTCTTTAAAACTTTAGAAAATTAAAAAATTCTCTCAAAAACATAATTTTGTTAGATTCGTGTTCCGAAGTCTATGTACATTATACATCTACGTCTAACATCATCATCATTTCTCTTATACGAATCTACAAGTGTTTGAAAATATCTGCCAAGATTTGTTTCTTCTGGATAATTGGGGGTGATGGGCTTATTTTCTCATAAGACATTTTTTGTCACAAGAATGTCTAAACCAAAATTTACATTGTTTTAACATCGACAACGTATAAAATATAAAAATGACTTTAAATGATGAATCATACGTGTCCGTTCATAATTCTTTTCTAATTAACTTTCATACTTAAGACCATAACGGTGAATTTATAAGCTATCATGTGACTAACTATTTCATGATCAAGATATTCGAACTTAAACTTTGATATTGAAGTAGAAAAATACATACATACCTATTTCTGGATATCCATTAAGAATCGTATATTAAAGAACATCAAATCATATTTCTAAAAACTATGGTGATATATACTGTTTATCTGGAATTTGATGACGCCCAAATCCATGATATTAGAATAATTCCTATAGGTTGAAAGAACAATTATTGAGAATTTTCTTTTAGAATCTATGCTTAATGTTAACAATGCTATATGCGATGCTCTTAAATTTTTGACATGCTTAGTTTTTTCCTTTTCATTAATTCATCTGTTCTTCTAACATGTTTTAATTTAGTTAAGGGAGAAAAACTAGTTTGACCCATAACTAAGGTCTAATTACTAGATTAACTCATAAAAGGTATGGGTTAATCTAGTTATTTTTCTGACCGAAATACCCTTTGTCTCTTTGACAGGAAAAAAAAAAAGTCAATAATACCCTCTTATTATTTCGAAACGTGTTTGATATTTTTGCCAAAAAACAAATCTGCCATGAAAAGTCTGTCGGCCTCGTTGTGACAGATTAATTTTCGACGACAGATTTAATGGTCCACGACAGATTTTTTACGGCAGTTTTTTTTTCTCCGACAGATTTTTTTGAATATGGTTACGACAGATTTTAAAATTGTAGCAGATTTTTTTCCTTCGACAGACTTATTTGCTCTTGACGCCACAGACTTCCGTAATTTTGACAGTTTTATTTCAGTGTATAGCAGATTTTTGTTTCTAGTGTTAGCAGACTAATATTTTTCAGAACAAATCTGTCATAAAGCAGCAGATTTGTTAAAGAAAAAATAATTGCTAGTTTGACTTTTTAGTGGTGACAGATTGTTTTTATGTTATGACAGATTTTTAAATGTCAACATAAAATCTGCAGTGTTATAGCAGATTTGTTTTTAAAAAATAAAAATTGCTAGAATGACATATAGTCCCAACAACGTTATGACAGATTTTATTTATGTTATACCAGATTTTTTAAAAAACTGGTGTTTCATAGCAGATTTTTTAAATTGAAATAAAATTATTGGAATGACCTATTTAGTGACAGCAGATTTATATTTGTTATGGCAGACTTTTATTATATTATGACAGATTTTTAATATTTAGTTGAAGTCGGAATTTATGTTGGAAATATCATGTGTGGCAGTTTTTTTTAAAATCTGAAATATAGCGACACCGCAGACATACTTGTAACATGACAGACTTTTTAAAATAAACTGCCAAATCTAATTTAAAAAAATATTAAATACGATCATAACTTACCATATTTTCTAGGGTTTTGTGGCATCAGTTACGGTTTCCTTTCTCCTCTATTCTCACCACGACGCCACAATCCTTTTCTACAGAAAAATGTTCATCTCTTTTTAGGGTTCCTATTCAAGTGGATTAGTTAAATTTTTTTCCATTTTCGGTTAATTCTCTTTACCTTTTCTTTCAATCCACGTTTTATTCTACGATTTGGAGTTCTATCAATAATGTTTCAAACCAGAGGGAGTGGATTGGATATGAATCAGGTGATCCTAGTATGTGGCAAATGGATTTTGGAGAAAAATATATGGTCGTTTGTCATTGATAACAAAAGGGGATGTCGAGTGATGGAAGTTAACCGTGAAACAAGTTACGATCAATGCATTCAAATGGTTTTTGAGGATTATGGGCTGCAAAACAGAGTCTGCGATGTTGTCTTGAGCTACGAGATTTCGAAGATGATGTCGCAGTCTTTACCTGGTGATACACCACCAGTTTTTATAAGTAATTCTAGACAGTTTCACACTTTTCTAGGGTTATTGAAGAGCAATACAATTCGCCTATGTGTGGAAGTGAAAAGAAAAAACTCGACTCACTGCAATGAAATTGACAATGAAGGTGTCACTGCCAACAAATTGCAGAGAAAACGAGAAAGAAACGAAAACGTGATGGAAGAAGAAGAAGAAACTGATTTGTCTCAGGAACTCGCAGCCGCGGTTGAGGTAGACGAGGAAGATGAAGAAATTCGATTTGATTACTGCGACGATTCTGACGGAACAGACTCCGATGACGAGAATTTTAGCTTGTATGGGATTCCACCAGAAGAAAAGGAAAAACCTAATTTACCAATGAAGAAGAGGAGTCTAGGTACTTTCATTGAAGAACAAAAAGAAGAAGATCATTATGCAACGTTAGAAATGTCTGCTGTGGAATTGGCTGTTGGACAATGTTATGAAACGAAAGAGCATTTGGAGACACGATTGAAGATACTTACCGTGGTTCAAAAATTTGATTTTTTTGTTTATAAATCGACACCATTTATATTGGTTGTCAAGTGCTGGGTTCAAGGTTGTACGTGGAAGGTACGAGCTACACCAACAAACGACTATCCAAAGTTTCATGTCCGTAAGTATGTTTCGGAACATACATGTTCAGTTACAGACCGTTCTGCACGTGCTCGACAAGCAACGCATGATATACTTGGTGTGTTGTATAAGGATTTTGTTGGTGGAGTTGGACCCACGGTATTACCAATGCACGTTGCCGAAGCGATGAATAAAAGGTTTCAAATAAAGGTACATTTTTTGACTAATTGGAATAGATAATTTCTACTATTCGCGCACACAATCAATTATTTTTTATTTTCTGATAGATGGAGTATTGGAAGGCATATCGGACACTACGACACGCCCGTGAATTGGTGAGAGGGAGTCCAGAGAGTGGATACGAGCAACTACCCACATACTTATACATGATACGTAGAGCAAATCCTGGAACCTTAACGCGACTTGAAGTTGATGCAACGCAAAGATTTAAGTATTTGTTTCTAGCGTTTGGTGCAAGCATGCTTGGATTTCCTTACATGAGGAAAGTTGTTGTCGTTGATGGCACTTTTTTACAGGGAAAATACAAAGGGACACTTCTAACAGCAACGGCTCAAGATGGCAATTTCCAGATTTTTCCAATAGCTTTTGCCGTGGTTGATACAGAGAATGATGAATCATGGGAATGGTTTTTCAAACAGCTCAGTTGCGTGATACCAGATGACGACAGTCTTGCTATTATCTCTGATAGGCACCAATCCATTGGTAAAGCAATAAAGAAGGTGTATCCAAAGTCGAGTCGGGGAATATGTACATACCATATGTACAAGAACATATTGGTACGCTTTAAAGATCGGGATGCATTTGGTTTGGTAAAGAAGGCGGCAAATGCTTTTAGATTAGTCGATTTTCAAACCACATTTGATCAAATTGAGGCGCTGAGTCCTGCTCTTCATAATTACCTGGAACGAGCTGATGTGCGACTGTGGACACGTGTACATTTTCCGGGTGATAGGTACAACTTACTTACAAGTAACATTGCAGAATCAATGAATAACGTGATGTCACATGCGAGGAGTTTTCCAATAGTCCAGCTGCTAGATGAAGTAAGGTCCATGATGACAAGATGGTTTTCAGAGCGAAGGAATGATGCATTGAAATTGACCACAGCTCTGACACGTGGAGTAGAGAAAATTCTGCAGGTTCAATCTCTAAACATGTTCAACACTTGCAAGGCTATTCATGCATATTGTTCATAAATTGATATTTACCCATTGATTATTTTTACAGAGCCGTGTAGAGTACGCTAAGTTACTTACTGTACAAGCTATAGATGCACATCAGTTTCAAGTTACACATGGATCTTCTCTCCATGTTGTTAATTTGAGAGACAAAAAGTGTACGTGTCGCAGGTTTGACCTGGAGAAATTGCCATGTGCTCATGCAATTGCGGCGGGTGAAAACAGGAAAGTCTCTAGAATTTCAATGTGTCATCCTTATTATCACAAAAACTACTTGTGCAATTCCTATGCAAACGCCATCATGCCTAGGGATTTTGCTATACCTGTTCCTGATCATGTGGCTACCAAGATATGTTTGCCCCCAGAAGCTCGTCAACAACCAGGAAGGCCAAAAAAATCAAGAATTAAATCTGCATTGGAGATTGCTATGGAGAAGAAGAAGCCAAGAAAACTACACACTTGTGGGAAATGCAATCAAGTAGGACATAATCGTAAGACATGTAATTCATAAAGTTTTCTTAACGTTTCTTCTGTTGGTTTGATCTGGTTCTTTATGTTTCAACTCAATTATGTTCTTGGCAACCTTTGTATTTCATTCAAAATTAGACAGCAAATTATAGTTTTCCTGTTTGCCATTCACTTATTGTGTGCTTCTAAGTACCATATGTTCTGTTTTTTTGGTGTTTAAGGTCTACTTCATAAAGTCGATACATGAAACAAAATAAAAACATCCAACCATAAGGTACTTAAACGTTCAACAAAGAGAAACAAAGGTACTTAGACGTTTAAAACGTAGTAGAATTAGGTCTGAGAAACAAAGAAACAATAACAACCTACAAATCCGAGATGTCATGAAATAAAATAGAAGAAACTACGGAGAGTCTTCGAGTTGAGGGATTCTGATTTCTTCACGACACATATCAAGCTCATACGGTCTGGCCGTCTCTCTCACTTCATCATATAGCTCCGCTGCAAGTTTAATACGTATTGCCTTCATGTTTTCAACGCAAAGCCCATCGAATGATGTCCCAAGAGCCAAACACTCGATGTATTTGATTGTGTAGATAGCACAATCGCCGGGATCTTTATTCAACGGTACTTTCTTTTTAATCCTTTTCACTTCCAGCCTTGCATTACTCTTCTTACGTATCTCCTCAGGTACCATAGCACTCATCATGGCAGGGATCATTTCTCGCAAAAACATGCATTGTCTCGCCATTTCAGGTTTAGTGGTCAAGTGTGGGATGCTATCGTAGATGTTAATCCTCTTCATAGGAAGGTCAATATCAAGAGCAACCCAATGATCCCCATTGATAAAGAGGCAAGCATAAAGATGATCAACATCGATGTACCATTTCTTGTGAGTAGCTGATTCAATTGGAGCTGTCCCGATGAAGTGTTCCGCAAAGAAATCCCTGAACTTGAAGCACTTACGACCTCCTGAAAAGTGCTTGTAATCTTTAGCCAACTCCCTCAACATGTATTGGTCCAAGAAAGTTATTCGTTGATTAGGGTACGCTGAAGGCTCACGCATCAACCTTTTGCGGAACATAGCCATCGCAGCACCCATATGCTACATTAATAATTAAACCAGTTAGAATCAATAAAAATCTAAAACGATTAAACTGAAAAGGAAAAGAGATTTTCATAATCTTAGATGACTTACATAATCTTTCAACCACGAGAGAAGAGCAATCGTGATGCAATCAACAAGGGCTGAAGCCAGACCGCCGTGTATGTGGCCGGAGACGCGACTTCGTCGGAACCGGAGAAGATTATTCGTCGGTACCCACGACGAATAGCAAATCGAAACGAAATCGACAAAGGGGCGGATTGAAAGAGCAGCAGATTGAATAAGCGGCGGATTGAATGAGCGGCGGATAGAAGGAGCGGCGGATTTCTAGGGTTTACACTCTAAAATCGACGAAGAAGAAGAGATTATGTGTCAATCTCTGTGGAAAGGGGAAAAACTATGAGAAACCCTAAATCGTGAATGTCTTTTAATTAATCGGGAAAAACTATGTTTTGTTTCTTTGTTATTATGTTTTTTAATTAAGTTCGATTTCTCAAATTTTTTTTTTTTTTTGTAAAGGAAAATGGTGGAGAAACCTTGACTAAGGTTAATTAGTCTTTTTACACAAAATATGAGTTAGTCTAGTTATCCATTAGCAAAGAGAGTCATTCTAGTTATTTTTTCAAAGTTTTGAGTCAATCTGGGTAAATTTTAGTTAATTTAAGTAATTTGTAATTACCATTTATGTTGACACACGTAAGAAAATTATTACGCTCTACAATAAAAAATAATAATTTTTGTTGTCTACAATCACGGATAAGATTAAATGTCTATGATTTATGACCCCACATGAGATTTTGATATATTTTCTGTCTTGCAAATATTCATGGTAGCAAATGATAACTCAAATACATGAACTTGTAATATTTGGACCTATTTAAATAAAATATTAAAAATATTCATTAGAAACTTAACATTGTATCTAGAAGAAAAAGCAAAACTACCTTCCAATTATTATATTTATGTATGATCAATTTTAGATTATAAATTATGCAAAATAATCTTCCATATAATAAAAGATCCATAATCTTTTTTTTTTTTGATATAAACACATCTATTATACTATTAATGGAAACTGAATTGAAGTCATTTTATTTTTTAACTAAGAAATAGTAAATTATTATGTTGCATTAAGTTGCAAGTTTTTGTATTATGTCCAAGGTTATTTTGTAGTATTTATTACATTAAGGGTCTTTCGCATTTTTCCTTGTATCTATCCTTCTTTAATTATTTTGTACTTCTAAGATTTCAACTTATAGGCCCACTTGTTTTCTTACCCAAAAAGGAATATCAATATCAATATCAAATATCAATATCGGTTAGTTATAGCGTGTATGAATAAGCATAAAGAAAAATTTGACAAGACGTTGTACTAAATCATTTATATTTCAATTTATATGAGATTAATATGTATAGCATAAAGGTCAAAATTTTGAAAAGATGTTTTACTAAAAGTTTTTAATATCAAGTTACCAATAGAAAATGAAGTACAAATATTCTCTAACAGAATTAAAAATAAAAATAAAACATATCTTAGTGCGAATATGTTCTCCTTTATTGTGAGTTACAACTTACAACAACATTTACACAAATCAGTGTGAGCACATGAGGAAACAAGATTAAAATGGAGATAGTATCCTATTCTTTTTTCTTTGTTGTTTGTTTAAATTATTTTAGTATTAATGAAAAAACAACAAAAACTAAGAAGCCAAAAAAAGAAAAAAAGAATAAGATAAAGGTAAAAATTGTGGGGACTCGAATTCCAATTGGTGAAAAATGTCGTCCCTCCATGAGGGATCAAATTCTTTCAAACTTCAAATCATTAGTGTCTTCTAGAACCCAAGTGGTTAAAGATTCCCTCTTATTGCATAAACATGCAAAGCGAGCATATTATATGTCGATCTTATTATATAAATAAATTAATGGTGACTAATTCTTCTCGAAATAACACTACGTACGTATAAGAACTATTATCGGTTAATAGTTAGATACATATCACAATGATCAAAGTGCACCAGATGATATTCGTATCGTAGTCGACATTTACATGCATATACACACAACAATGTATCTAACTATTAACCTATTTTTCTTCTGAAATGATAGGTTCCACCATTTTCACTATTTAACATGTCACTAATCGAAACTATAATCCAAGTTGTCTCGTCATGGTAATTAACAAAGAGAATAAATTTAGCCGCAATCATTGCTTATATAAAATAAAAATTAAGCTATAGTTTCATGTAATCATGTCATTTAATATAAAAATAACTGCATGGCTACAAATTATCAAGAGACAAGAGTCAAAAACCCTTGGATAGATATTTATTTTTAAAAAAACATAGAGAAGCAAAAGTTATTGCCTAAATGGCTTCGATCGAAATCCATAGTCTTGGATTTAGATAGACATATCTATCTAATTATTATTCTGGTAGAATAAAAACGAAAACAGAAAACATAAATTATTATTAGAACGTGCTTCTCATTTGCTGATGCCGGTCTTTTCCTTAATGGTCTCACTCGCACCTTGTGCCTTCTGCTTCAGCTGCTGTCCACCCTATATTTTGTTTTTCCAAAAAAAAAAAACCCAATAATTATTGATTTTTCTGAATTCTAAAATTATTTCATAAAAAGGTTTTAAAGAAGAAGAAAAGAAAATAAACCTCTTGGATAGATTCCTTAGCAGATTGGGCAGCATTGGAGGCCTTGTCCATCAAGTTGCTTGCCTTCTCCTATAACAATTTTAGTTAGCCTCTAATTAATACTAACATTGAAATATTAAAGTTTTAAAAAACTTTGTCCTATAGACCAAACCTGGGTTTGGCCTTTAGCTTGGCCAGCGTTGAAGCTCATGCTCTGACTGTTGTTAGACATTTTCTAATCTTCTCTTCGAAAAAAACTTACTTTGATTGTTAAAGAACTGTTTAGCTTTCGTAATTGTGAGTTGTGATGAAAGAGCATTACGGGTAGATGTTTATATACTTGTGGGGAACCTTGTAGTTTACCTACACGTGGAATTTAGTGATTGGGTGTCAGTTTAACGTAACGTTAGATTAGGACTCTCCGGTCGGATAGGGAGGTTTTTGACCACGAGACAAGCAAAACCGTTGTAGACTAGTTCCAATGTACTAATATTAGAATCTTCACTTCTTGTAAATCTTTATACTTTTAGGAAATGATTTTCTTTTAATCGAATATGACACATAACCTCCGATCCAGTTTCATATTTCGTTAATAATTAATGCGCTTACCTAAATACCACCTTTATGAAACTGGCTAATTGAACGAACATTTTCGCGCTTAAATGGCGACTATCGCTTATAAATTAACTATTAACAAAAAAAGGACATAATGTGCTGAAGAAAAAAAAGAAAGACAAAATGTTGGCTGGATATCTAATCTTGGTACTAATCACCGAACCAAATGCCTCTAACACCATTGAGATATTTCACCCTATAAAATGGCACTAAGTGTGACAGTTTAAACCAACTCAAATATCTAGCATCCCTCCCTTCAAACAAGAACCATGGAAAACCATTTCGTAGTACCCTCAACCATTTACCCTAACCCTAAATCGGCCCAAACCAAAGATGAACAACAAGTTGAAGAGGCCAGGTTGCTAGCGAGGAGGCTCTCGAACGCAGCCGCCTTCCCCATGGCTCTCAAAGCCGCCTTGGAGCTAGGTGTCATCGACATTATTGCCACCATAGGCGATGGTTTGTGGCTCTCACCTTCCGAGATAGCACTAAGACTCCCAACCAAACCTAGTAACCCCGAGGCTCCGGTTTTACTTGACCGTATGCTGCGGTTACTCGCTAGCTATTCAATACTGAAGTGTCGTAATGTTGTAACAAAAGAAAACGGTCAAACCGGCAAAATCGAGAGGGTATATACTGCCGAACCGGTCTGCAAGTTTCTCTTGAACAATAGTGATGGCTCTGGATCTTTTGCATCTCTGATCATGATGAACCTTAGCGACGTCAACATCAAGACTTGGTAATCTATTGTTTAAAACCATATTTGATTCTTCAATCTTCATTAGACCGGTTATGACCATCTATTTAAACCGGTTAACAACAAATTGTTTATACTAATAAGATATTTTTGTTTTCTCTAGGGGACAACTCAAGGGTGTCATTTTAGAAGGAAAAGATGCATTCAATTCTGCTCATGGGATGAAATTATTTGAATACATGCGGTCGAATGAACAATACTGCAAACTGTTTAGTCAGGCTATGTCAGAATCTTCGTCTATGGTTATGGAAATGGTTCTAGAAGCTTACGATGGATTCAAAGATGTGAAGACTTTAGTGGATGTGGGAGGAGGACTTGGTAGCACTCTAAGTCTCATCACTTCCAAATATCCTCATATTTTGGGTATCAATTTCGATTTGCCTCCCGTTATAGCCCGCGCTCCTCTTTACCCCGGTAGGAATCATGCTTTTATTTAAAATATTATAACATAATTATCAAAACTAATATTCTAATACACCTTTTATAACATTATCATCAAAACTAATATTCCAATACACATTTTGTCAAAACTAATAACTTCTCTAGGGAAAATTATGACGATAATTGATTTTTGTTTTTGTTTTGTGTTTACTTTAGTAACCTATGACATCAAGAAATTTCTTAGATAGTAATATACGGGTTATAATTTTTGTAAATTTTTCAGGTATAAAACATGCAGCGGGAGATATGTTTACAAAAATTCCAAATGGAGATGCCATTTTTATGAAAGTAAGTCCTCTTTATAATCCCAATAGATAAATAAATTTTTTTAATATGATTTATTAAAGCATAATAATCTCGAATTATATACCAGTGGATCTTACATGATTGGACGGAGGAACAATGCATAAAGATTCTTAAAAACAGTTGGAAAAGTCTTGAAGAAAATGGAAAAGTGATTATAGTGGAAATGGTTACACCGGTGGAAGCAAAGAGCGGAGATATATGTTCTAACATTGTGTTTGGTATGGACATGACAATGTTAACACAATGTTCGGGTGGTAAAGAGAGATCTCTCTACGAGTTTGAAAATTTAGCTTATGCATCGGGTTTTTCGCGTTGTGAAATTGCATGCTCTGTTTACCCGTTTTCCGTCATCGAAATCTATAAATAGATTCAACATATGACACTAGACCATATTCACTCCTTCTATTTGGGCTGTAATGTTTGTGAGTTGTGACTATCATATGTGTGCTATCTTTTGTAATGTTTGGGTGTGATCTTTCGTTTTCATATTTACGGTTGTGATGGTCTTTCAGTAACTACGTTGTGTAATGTTTTATGAGTGTGAAAATTGGTGTTTGCAGTGCGATTGTAATTTGTAATTTGGGACATTAATGTTCAATCTATTAATCTAAAATAATTGTTGTAGTAATTTTCCTTTCATGTCTAACCTAGAAAGCTTGACCACCTTTCATTACTTGACCTCTCGGTGAATAATGATATCTAAAAAACTTTATAAGTATCATGCTTAGTGCTCTAGGAGATGAAATATTTTGTTTTTTCTTATCCTCATGTTACAGAAGTATGATTTATGGAACATAATTTAGGAACACGATCAAGAAAATGTTGTAGCTTAACCAAAACCTCCACATTACATGGGAACATCTGGATCCAACCTTCTCTGTATAGCAGCTGCGCCCTGCGTGTATCAAAATTAATCCGAAAACGTTACATTAACAATGGAATTGAGGATAATCTAAATTAAAGCACAGAGAGAAAACAAGGGTTTCTTTTGTATCGAACCTCCATGTCTCCAATCTTGTATAAGTACACCATCTCTTCCTTTAGCCGAGCCTGCTCTTTCATAGCTTGTGCCTGCCATTGGGTTATAAACACATAAGATTTGTGCAAGTAAACAGATTAATGGCAAAAGAAACATGAAATGTCAAGAAAGACACTAACCATTCCGCCTTCCATTGATCGCTTTAGAGCTAACACTTCTTCTTCCTTTTGCCTTTCGCGTAATTCCTGCATCTCTAGCCTGAAACAAGCACAAAAAAACATGCCTTTTAAGCAACTCATCCAACAAGATTACTATATTTTACTGACTGAAGATATAAAGTAATAATCTTTGGTTACCGGCGTTGTTCCTCATCATTGAACACAGTACGCTCACTAATCCCAGCTTTCTTCAAACCCTTTTTCATCTCTTTTTCCAACTTAAGTCTGTAGTAACCATCAATGTCATAGTATCTGCAAGAAGAGCAGATCTTTGATAAACAACTAATCTCAACTATAAGCATTCAACAAAACTAATACATCCACACAAGAAAGAAGCTTACTTTTTCGAGGTAAATGTACCCGTATTATGATCTTCCATAAAACTGTGGAAAACAAAAATCAATCGCACACAACATTTATCAGAAACCAAAAGAACCACATATGAAACACAAACTCTAGAGTTACATCAGAAACTAAATCACAGTACATACTCTTTAAACATTTTCTTCTCTTCCCAAGGTGGCAAGCTTTCCAAATTAACCTATTCAAGCCAAACAGATAACCAAAATCAATTCTGTAACTCTAATCGGCTTCACTTCTGAATCCAATTAGGATCATATAAGACTATAGAGTGTATAGATAAAGTTACCTTTTTTACTTCAAGCAACCATGCTGTGAACTCTGGTCGTTTATTCCTACACACAAGTAATCAACAACTTCAATATCTAATGTATACACAATCCAGGCCAGTCATCAACACAATTCTCTATTGAAATCTCCACAAAAGACTCAACATTGTAGTACTAAAAGAGCTTAAGATCTTCCAAAAGACAGAAACTTTTACCACATATCAGTTTCTCTGATGATTCCATACTTCCCCCATGATTCAGTGACAGCTCCTTTCTTCACTTTCTCAGACTTCTTCTTCTTCTTCTTCTTCTTCCTATCTCCATCTTTATCAGACTTGTTCCTCTTCTTCTTATCTTTCTCTCTTCTTCTTCTCTTCCTCTCTTTCTCTTCCCTCTCCCTTCTCTTCCTCTTCCTCCTCCTTCTCTCATCTTCACTCTCACTCTCCTCAGACTCCGATGAATAATCCGACTCCGATTCTGATTCCGAATCTGAGCTACTACTCGAATAATCACGACGTCTTCTCCTAGATGATTTCCGATCTGATTTCCTCTTCCCTCTAGCCTTTCTACTTCTACGTCTCTCTTCCTTCTCCGATTCAGACTCGCTTCCACTTTCCAAACCAGATTCAGAGCCTGACTCTTTACCGTCTTTTGTTCTCCTCTTCGATTCACGGCGGCGACTCACATCTTTCTCTTCTCCGGAATCCTTTCCAGCACCAGTCGATTTCTCCCGGGATGATTTTCTTCTGATTTCTCTCTCTTCTACTTCGCGTTTCGTGTCCCCCGACGGAGAACCGTCGTGGTCACTTCCCATCTTCGCTAAATCGCCGGCGAGAGCTAATAAACTAAAGGCCCTAGATCGGAGCGAAGCCGTGATAAAAAAAATTGCGAATAATAGTAATTAAAATTTAATTGGGCCCTAAGAATATTGTTGTTTATAAAAAGCCCATTAGTGATGACTAGTAGGCCCGTTCATTGCGTTTTAATAAGGTTTTGAATAATTTTTAATACTACGTCGTTTTCTCTTAAACACAAACTACTGTAATACGTAAAACAATAGCTCTGACTCAGAGCCTCTGAGTAACTTTTATACACCCAAATCATAGCAATCGATCGAATCAATAAAAAACCACACTAGTCCAAAAATTAGAATTCAGTATATACATTACAGTAATTAAACAAAGCGGCAAAGAGTATAGTAATATATATATTCAGAATTTCAGATGCAAAATCCGAATACATGCAACTTTGTTTATTTTAAAGTTAATTTGTAATTGTATGCGGCTGCTACTAATGAACAATATAATACAAAACATGACTAAAAATGACATGATTTATATCAACTAAGCATGATTAAAATTGGGGAAAATCACATAAAAAAAACTTGTGACAACCACTTAAAGTTTAAACCTTCAAAGTTTTAAACTGACCCAATAAACCACCAAACTTACAATTTTGTTACTTTAAACTTTCAAAATGATATTTGTGTTCGCGGATCCACGAGTGGTGGATGCAGAACTTTTTATAACCCTGGGCACAAACAAAAAGAAATACAAACACAAAAATAAGTTTATGACAAAAAAGTTTTTTTATAAGTTATCATAGTTCCTACATATTTTGGTGTATAAATTTGTTTGATATAAATTTTAGGGCATAAAAGTCACTCAAATCCATCAATAAACAAGAGAATTATGGATGTTTGAAAATCCAAAGCTTGTGGTTGTATGCTCGGTTTGGAGCGGGTGCTCGAAAATCCGGAGTGGGTGCTCCATTTTCTCAAAAAGTTTGTGTTTCGATCTCCTCCGTCCAGAGAAGCTGCTCCAAATTTTGGGCACCAACTCGTCAATATACCTTTGTGTTACTATGAGTTTCAAACGTTAACTTAATAAAACAATATTTTTTTTTCTCCATTAATAAAACAATATTACTCAGATTTGAATGAAAATCATTGAAATTAAACACCAAACGTAATCTAATAATTAAAAGAATTGTGTAGACATTTTATTTAGCTAATGGAGAAGAGGAGTTAAAAAACAAGCATTTCCGCAAAATGTAGGAAAATCATTTAATTTATATTCGCGGGCGCTTCTATTACTGATATCGTAAACACCAAAGCCATAACTAACATAATATATGGAATTAGGCTTGAGTCCCGGATACTTGCATGCCTCTAAACAGAATATCTCATTCTCGCCAATGAAAATGCAAAGATCTCCAATATTGTCTGTGTAGCTAGCGATCATTCTTCTTCCTTTATATGTATCCTCTTTTTCTGTCCTGAACACCATGAATCGCTTAGTTTTTCCATATATTTTAGTTCTGTTCCCATTGCGCGTTGGCTTCACATACGTCACATACCTTCATAATTAAAAGAAATATTTTCAGTATTGTTAAGTTTCATCGGTTACCAACTCAATATTCTTTACAATTACTATTTAGATGGAAAACCTAGCTAGTTATGTGGCTCTATTAGTTGTGGACTTACCAATGAATAATGAAACGTTCGCCAGAAGAAGTCTCCATCATATAGTCACTCCGTGAACATGAAGATAATATCTCCCACTCGTGTTGTGGTATCAAAGGGAAATTCTCAAACTGTAACTGCATGAATGTAGGGTTCTTATTGTTTTTAAGATCCAAGGTAGCCATGTAGGCACATCCTGTACTAAGGAGGCAGAACATTTGGTCTTTCCGAGAATAAACAACATGTGAGTCGATATCGCTGGAGAATGGAATGTTAATGGTGGTCCACTCTAAATCTCTATTAGGCCTACAATAACTAAGTTTAGATCCACAGAAGGTTATACTCACTATAGAGTTATTGTCGTGGTCGGGAAAAGGAGTAGACAATGAAACGTTTATGGTCATTTCAAAATTAGGAAACGCCAATGGAGGTAGAGAAATGGTTTTGGGGGATGACTCTGAGGACCAAGGATTAAATATGTCGCTGAGATATATGGTGGAATCATTCATACCCATAAAAACTGCCCAGCCACGGGAGGTTCCAAGGAGGATAAACCTTTGGTACAACACTTTTGGAAATTTCTTGCCAGTAATCTTGATGATTTTTTCACTTATTAGATTGAATAAAGTGTAACTTACAAACATATTTTCTTCTTCATTTGTAGATTCGTCTTGTTCAAAACTATAGTTGACCAACATGTACGGGGTTTGAAGTGGATATGAGCATAAACGTGTCGTGTCACCTTCTTCAACCTATAATTGATTGCGGGGGAATCAACAAAACTTTCAAAGGCATAGAAAAATAAAGTATTTGGGTTTTGTTGATAGCGAAAAGAAAAACTTACATAATGTTTTGCAACTAGGCCGAAAAGCAGAGACATTGTTTTGAAATGAACTACAAGTAAAACTTACATAATGTTCAACTATAGGGATATCTGTCTTATATATAAAGTTGATACGTTTTTTTTAGACACGTGACGTAAGTTTGAAATCATAAGACTATGATATGTGTTTGTATAATTAAATTGTGACACATGTAAAACTAAATTCAAATTTCCCCAAGCTACTCATATTTATTTAGAAGAAGATATCATATTTTTTGTTTTGTTTTGTTTTCTTTTTTTGTTCTTTCTTTAATTTAATCAATTTTTCAAAAATCATATATACTTAGTTTTAATGTGATATATTTTCTTTGTCAAAATTTACAAATTGTAACATTTACACATGTTGCGTTATTAGGGTCTTCAACTTATATATATAGATATGCACGTTCATATTTCCCATAACTAATAATATTTATTTAGAAAAGTGGATATATATATATTAATTTTAATGTTTTTTGTTCCCTTTTTATACAAATCATAGTTAGATAGTTTCAATCTTTTAATTTGTTAATTATATGTTTCCTTTTCAGATGATTAGATTTATCAGTACTTTTTTGAAGTGATTTGTTCATTACTTTCTTATCTCTGAAAAATAAAAACTTCATGGTTTTAGTGCCAAAGCCTATTTTTAGTTCATTTACTTGCTGCAATTTGTGACGGAAGAAGAAAGAAATGTAACTGGGCCTCGAAATAAAGTGTAAGATATTATAACCATAGGCTTTCATACCAAATTTATATTTGGGCTCTAGTTCTAATATATTAATACTGCTCACTTACAGCAGCATCTTCATAAAATCCATCATCTAACTTATCTCTCATTAAGATTACATAAACACAACTATATCTCTCATTAATAACTTGTGATTTCCAAAAGTTATTTCATGACTTGAGAAACATGCATGCAAATTATATTCATAAACAGAAGGAAAATATTGGATTTAATCATATGAATATTGAAAATAACGATGATCAAGGCTTACTTAAGATTATATGAAAGTCTACAAGGCTACAATGGTAGAAAAAAAAGTCATCAGTGCTTTTATATAAATAGAAAGATAGGATTAATATAGGGAAAACGACCATAAACTATGTTACTTATCACATTTATACACAGAACTTTGAGTTATGCTTATAACTACACGAACTTAACTAAAATTTGACATTCATACACGAATAAAACAAATCCGGCTCAAATCCATAAATCTCCAAATAGTGTTAATGTTCCGTTAATTTAAGCCGACTAGGATGCCACGTGGATGATAAAAAAATAAAAACTTAGATCTAATCAAGAACTCGCTCGAACCCTTAACCTTGAAGTCTTGAATGCTTACTCTAAACCAGCTGAGCCACCGTAACATTTGACGTAAGTACAACCAAATGCATTTATATAAAAACATTTCCAAATTAATTTGTCTTTGTTATTTTCTTAGTCACTGAAATCCACGCGCCGCCGCAAACCCTCTTTGGAAAGATAGGCCAAAACAGAGCAAACCCGCATCGAAGATGTGTCATTGCAATCCGTTTGGTTTCGTCTCGTATACAAATCTTGTGAATTGTGATTATGGTTTTAGCTCATTTTTTCCTTCGTCAGATTTATTGTTGAACTTATGATCTAGTTTAGATTTCAGAGATTTGATGTTTATGCATACAAGCGAAACCCAAACAACGCGTTAAAACCCATACAAGAGATTTGATTTTTTTAAAAATTATCTATGTGGCATCTTAGTCAGCGTATAGTTAAAAGAACATTAACATCGTTTAGAGAGTTGTTGGGTTTAAGCCGGATTTGTTTTGTTTGTGTATGAAATTCAAATTTTAGTTGAGTTCATGTACTTATAAGCACGACTCAAAATTCTGTGTATGAATGCTATTAAATAACATATTTCCCAGATTAATATATGTGGCAAGATTCTAAAATGTGTTACGACTACAATATATGTGGCATCCATAAGACCATTATAATTTATACATGATTCATTTTGAGTTTTTGACATATTAGTAAACTAAATAAAATAAAATATTGTTTTACCACAAAAAAAAATGGAAAGAAAAATTGATACTGGAATCATTCTAGAAATGAGTCTAAAATGTAAGTAAGGGAAAATGAAACGAAAGAGAAATAAATACTGTTGGATATTGGCAAAAATTTCCGTTGCATTTCTTCCAAGGCTCATAGTTATCAACGAGTGGAACCAGTGGAAATCACAATTATCGGTTTACTGGAAAAGTAATAACTTTATATAAGAAAAATTACTATAACTTTAATCACTTACTTGAAAATTTCAAGGACATTATTGTAAATATTTACAAGAAAAAAAAAGAAAGATAAAAGGTCATTATTGTAAATATTTACAAGAAAAAAAAAGACAAAAGGTCAAATTGTGTGACTAGAAAAAGGTATAAACACGAAGTCTTTCTATTATGTCGCTAATTAATTAATCTAGACTTTAATCAGAAAATGCAAAGTCCCAATCTTCTTGAGTCAGGCTAGGCAACAAACCAAAATCCGATGGACCGTAATCAACAAGAAGAGACTCCACGTCGTGGCCCGTATACT